ATTCTCACTTTGTTGTTTTTTAAATCAAGGTATTTCATGACAAAAAAAAAAGGACTAATCTCTCAATAAGAGGTTGACTTCTCTTTAAAAAAATTGTACACATTGATTAAGGATTGAACCTACCAAAATTATATTGAATGAGTATTTTTATGGATTGTTCTTTAATAATAATGTTTTTAGTTATTTTTTTACGATAACGTTTTTTATATATATTTTTTGATTTGTTATCTCTATTAATTTATCTTTTTATATTTATATTTATATTTTTAATTTTAATATTTTTGAAAAAAACCATTCATAGTTAAAATTAATTTTGTATTATAATATAAATTATTTATAAAAAATATAAAATGTGATGTAGATGTTCAAAATTTATAAAATAAAAAATTTATCCAATATATTACACACACTAAAATACTATCATATAAAATGATTTGGAAAAAGGAATAAGTTGGATATGATTTTATTCACCGTAAATAGAAAAATAATTACTTTTATATATTAAAAGACTAACTATCAAAAACATAATTATCAAAAAAAAAAAAAAAAAACTGTCTCACTTACCAATTGAGTCTAATTGGTTGAGTAATGTATATGAGTGTTGTGGGATTTAATCGCATTTTGTGTTTCAACCTTTCACTTTGTTACAAATTTTGTCCCCCATATTTTTTACACAAAATTTGCTCCCAAGTTATGTTGCAAACTATGTCGCTCCATCACATTATCTATTTTATATTGAGTTGTGATCAACTTTATAATTTTAACGTTAATAAATAGATATTTAAAAATAAAATTAAAATTGGATTATTGGAGAACTAAAATCGCTAAACTAACAAACAGAAACCAAAATCATGAATTGAATATCATAAAGGAAAAAAAGTAAATTTAGCATTAAAATAATTGTTTTGGTTGTTAAGTTTATTTTTTTTCCAAATAGTTATTTTTATCTCTAAAACAAATATTTTTAATTTCTAATAATAATTTAGGTACACATCATTTAATATTTTAATAAGTAATTAATATTTACTTATTAAAATTATATAAGATTTAGAAATGTGTATTAAAGGGCTTGGAGATGGAGAAACAATTACATTTTTGATGAAGAAAAGTGGGATATTAACAAAACCATCTGCTATGTTTACACTAACCTGTCAGACCTAAGCTCCATGAAGAAATCACACGGGATCAGTGATGAAAATAAACAATGGCATCCCCCAGCTGATCTGTTCGTCAAGGTCAATGTGGATGGAAGCTTCAACCCATCCTCTAGCAGTATGACGATTGGTGGAACTATTCGGGACTGTAATGGCAAATGGCTCTTTGGCTTCTCGAAACACATGGGAAAAGGAGATCACATTTTAGCTGAATTACTCGCCATTAAAATTGGCCTGAAGACTTGCTGGAACAAAGGTTGGAGAAATATCATATGCGAATCTGACTGCCAAGAAGTCCTGAAGGGAATAATCGAAGGTGATAACCCGAGACACTTACATTTTGAGGTTATTGAAGAGATCAACCACTTCCGGAGAAGAACCTGGAATACTAAACTCAACTGCATAAATAGAGAAGCAAACAAGGTAGCAGACATACTTGCGAGGAAAACCAGCAGCGGAGGAGAGCTCACTTGGATGTCACCGCCTAATGAAGTGATTGAACAACTCACGTTTGATTGCATGGGAATTACATAGCTGTCTTGTCGACACCTACCCTTCTTTTGGTATTTTCGTTTTGTGTTTTTGTTTTTTTTTAACTTTCCACAGTTGCCAAAAGAAATGTGTATTAAATTGTAGAAAATAATCACCTTTCACTTGCAATATTATAAAAACTCTTAGAATAATGATAATGATGATATTGTGAATGAAATTAGTTTTTAACTCACAAGTCTCCCATCCAAATACAATATTATGGTGGTCAAATATAAAAAATAAGGATCAAAATATGTCAACTCTTTTTCATGTACTACGTTGATTCTAGTAATTTATATTGATATATATTTTCTTAAAAATCATAAAGTCTTTCATGAAATATTATCTATTTTTTTAAGTAAGGTAGGATTATTATAAATGATAAAAAGGTGTTTAAAAAATACTGACCAAATACATTTTAAAGAGTTTGTACGATCACTAAATATTTATTGACATTTGATAAAAAAAAAGTATTTTTAAAAGTAAAAATATCAATTAAGGTAAGACACGATAAAAAATATGTTTAATTTTGATGCATTTAATTATATTAAATTTATATTAACTATTAATTAAATAACTTTTGTTATACCCACCATATATTATTTAAGAGAGACAATCATATTTAAGTTAAATTATTAAATGAGAAAACCTATTAAACATAATTACTTAAAACATAAAATTGAGATTATTGTTTAAGTTAAATTAATTTAAATATCGATGGCAACACAAAATTGATGGTAATTAATAACTTACTTAAATGTCTATTTTAAAATGAGTGATTTTGATTTTGGTTATTATAATTTTTTTTCCTTTGTTTTTTCATGTTTCTAAATATTGATTTTATAATTTTAAAATGAGTAAATTTTGATTTTAGTTATTATTAAATATTTTTATTTAATTTTTATTCCTTTAAAATATAATTTTTTTTATCTTTAATAATAATTTTTAGGTAGATAAATATCATTAATTTTAAGAATTTATAAAAAAATTTAAAAGCATTACATACTAATACATTGTCACCATAGATAAATCTAGAAATGATTACTTAGTCTTTTAATGAGTAAAAAAATAATTATAAATAATTGCATAACAATAATTATTCTAAATTTTAGTGTGATAAAAAATAATTTTTTAAAAAGGATCCAAATTAAAATTCACTTAAAGGCTAAATTCAATAATAAATTATATATAAAAATAAATAATATATTTGAATATATAAATTACATTTAAAATTTAAATAAATATATTTTTTAAATATATATATATATATATTATATTATATTTTCAATTTAAGATAAATAACTTATATTGCTGCAAGAAATTATTTTTAATTATTGATAAATCATTAAAAATGTTAATTTTTATTTATATATAAAAAAACTGAATTTGATGATGTTTTTCTAAAAATACTTTATACAACATAGCAATTCGCACTTAATTAATATATATATATATATATATATATATAATTAAAAATTAAAAATATTTATACTTTAACAAGATTTGTGAATTTTGATTTACTTAAAAAGAAATTACATAGCCCCGTAGCTGGCAAACATAAATGGGCAATGGCACGATTAAACTGAAGATATTTGTACCTATAAAAAAGAAGTGAAGATTCCCGCATTGAATAGGGAGAACTGATTTCATTATTTCATGAAATCTCAAAGCCTGATTTTTGTGAAAGTGGGGCACTCATTTTTAATTCTTTGTTAGCCAATTTTTATTCGTCAGCTTTAGCCTTTTGGTCCTACCTCCATTACCACTAGTCCAACCACATACTACCTCTTATCCCAATTCCACGCCGTGCTTCGCAATCCATGATTTGTGGTCACTTTTGAAAAGGTAATTCAATTTTTATTTTTATGATGATGATGATGATGCAAAACCAAAGTCTGAGACATGGGAGAAAAGTTGTAGCCCTCAGTGTGGTAGGAAGAAAGTGAGTTGTGGAGACAGGTAACCAAGAAAAGATGAATGAGGGAGGACCTATATATATTTTTTACAATGACCAAAAAAGTAGCAAAAGAAGTTGGTATTTTGATTTATGGCAAATGAATGGCTTCAAGGGTTGGATACGCATCCAACTAGCTGCTACTAACTACACTAGACTTGACACTGATATCTCTAATGGAATGGGGCGTTGGAAATCACTCTTAAATTTCACTTCTGCAACACCAAGACTTTAAATTTCTATGGGGCTATGTGGATCACTACGTTCTTATTTCTCATTCTATACGCCTAGGTTCTCTCTCATGGTGGACCACACTAGCCACTTTTTCTAGATACCTGATGCTCGATTATTTTATATAATGCTATACTGTTATTATTTTTTTATTTTATGCGTACCACATTTGAGAAGACCATTTTTCCTGCAACTAAAAGACTCTATTTTACGTTAACTATGTTCATCAAGTATGTGATAGGGTTCCTTCATCATGTGTATGAAAAAATATTTATTAAAAGAGGCATTTTTTTTTCGGATTTACACATTTTAATTAGTTTGTAACATTTTTTTAGGATTTAGGGCTTGCATAACATTTTTTTTTCCGGAAAGGATGTATCTGTGTGTATATATATAATTATAATTTATTATATTTTTCAGATCTTGTGAAGTGAGTCTCATGTCATGTGTTAGGCACCTAAATTTTAATTAAATTTATTGATTTGTTTGAATTTTCTTTTCAATGATATGCATCAAATAATATGTGGTTTTTATTTTAAAGGGTTTCTATCTTATTGTTGATGTGTTAATTGCTTATTATTTAATATACATGAGAAAAATAATTTCAACACGTTAAGGATCTGTTTGGCCGCCGACATGGCATGTGCTGAATTTGTGTTCAGTGTTCACAAATGCCTAGTTTGCTCTGCCTTGTTTTACGAATGCAGTTGTTGTATTTTATTTTATTTGCATATTGCCTCTTAGAGACATGTTGAAGAAGGCTCAACACTTGTGGGGACCATACCTCTTTGCATTTACAACTCATTTCTGAGTAAACTTTCTTCATCATGCCCTTACAGCAGAAAGGTGCTACATTTATGTCTTGGTGGGTTGGTGCTTATCAAAGACAGCACACAGGCACATGGACACTGTTATTTCTCTATCTTTTCACTAAACCCTTTGGAAAAAAATTAGATTTCTTGGTAAATTTGGTCAAATGAAATGTCTCTCTCATTCCCATTTAAATGCCGGAACAATTACAATCCAGCTGCTGATTTAAACCTCTTTTCCTAACTCCATTTCAAGATAAATCTGAGTTAGGTAATATAGTAAAAGTAATTATTTTATTGGAATTTTAACTCAAGACAAATATTAATATTAATAAAAGGAATTTGTTTACCGTGATTTACACTCATGTGTTTGGTCAATGTTGTCATTTTGATTTTCCTCACTCCTTTGTCCTTGAAATAAAGTAAAAAGTCGACCATAATGGGATTCAGCTGTGTTCCCTTTACATTATCTTTGGTGCATGAAGACATGCGGAGAAGCTTCTAATATCAGTTTTATTTTCTCTATTGCTTTTTTGTTAGTTTGCTACTAATGCAAGTTCAGTATCTTAGCCAAGAAACCAGGAGGTACACAACTCACAAGACTCTTGGCTTTCTGAAGACGCTGACACTTCATTCCTGTCATTAATTGAATTTGTCACGCTTAATAAATACCCCAGTTTCAAAATCAACACATAGCATTTCCTCACCAATGAGGTGCCGCTTATAAGAGTCTGGTCTTGCATCTGCATCCCTGCAACCGCCATATTTATCAACCTGAAAACATGTTCAAGTCATGGAGCAAGAAGAACAAGATCAAAGCTGTGTTCAAACTGGATTTTCAGGCAACTCAGGTGAGTGTAAGACAGACAAAAACAAATCCCTAGAGTTTAGTCGCTATTAAATCTAAAAATAGGTTGTTAGAGTTTGAAATTTACACAGTATGGCACAATTGTTTTAGTTAGAAGAGTTTGACAGTTTGTGTAGTGAAGGAAATATGTTATGCACAAACCAATGTACTGATTCTGCAGGCAGTGTTTTTGAGCTTGTTCTATGTCTCTCCTATTTTATCAGGTGCCAAAGATGAAAAAGTCTGCAATAATGGTGTCTTTGGTGCCAGATGATGTTGGGAAGACAACAGTGAAACTTGAGAAAACTGCTGTCCAAGATGGGACCTGCTCATGGGAGAATCCAGTTTTTGAGCCAGTTAAACTTGTTAGGGATGCAAAGTCAGGAAAAATTCATGAGAAAATCTACCATTTCATTGTTTCAACTGTAAGCAGTAGTTGTAATTTCACACTGTCCTTTACTCAAGTAGGATGTTGGTTGGTTGGGATGTCTAAACTTTGTGGGCTCTTGCAGGGATCTTCAAAATCTGGCTTTCTTGGAGAAGCCTCAATTGATTTTGCTGATTTTGTTGCAGAGACTGAGCCATTGACTATTTCTCTTCCCCTAAAGTTTGCCAATTCAGGCATAGTTTTACATGTTAGTACTCTTTATCTCCCTCCATCCCTTGCTTCTTGTCACACTCTCAATTCTCAACAAGCACTTTCACATTATTCATTTCTTAACATGTCTCAAGGATTTGAGCTTTTTGAGAGCTTTGTTTCCTTTCACACTAAAGAATGAAAAGTACTTTAACATAATCAGATTACAAATACCACTCAATTTTATATTTCTCACATAAGAATTGTTGAGACAGGTGACTATTCAAAACGTGGAAGGATATACTGCTGAAAGGTGAAAATGAACCATTACAGCCTGTTAATTTAAACATTACAATTTTCCCTACGTTTCTCACTATGTTCTCTTAACCTTATACTTAATTCCAGCAATGGGGAATATAATGGAGCTGAGGGGCTTTGCAGTGACGGAAGCTTGAAACACCAGCTGAGCTATGGCAGTACAGATCATGAAAGTTATAATGTTGATGAAGTAAGGTCTTATAAGATACTTTTATATGGTTAACAATTCTATTTAACACTGTTGAAACTTTCCTAATTATAAACTTCTGAAGAGGATAAGTTATGCTAAGAAATAACTCATTTATAGAATTTTAGTTATATTAGTTTTTGTTATTATCTTATAGAATGGGCACATGGCGAGGACCAGATCCGAGTATTCTGAGCAAGATGCATCTAATGGCATTAGTCCCGGGGTAGCTTCATGGGAGGATCCTTATAGCTTCAGACAAAATTCAATGCCATCAAAAAGAACTGTTAAGGAGGCCATTGCAACAGAAAACCAAGTGCATGAGAGGTCAAACACAAACTGGTCAATTGGTTCAGCATCAGATGGAAGTTTAGGTGACTGGACTAACAGCCTGGAAGACAATCTCCCTAGAGAAAGATTACATGAGCCTTCAGATAATGCCACTGAAAAGCTCAAAAGTGAAATTTCTTCCTTAAAGAGGCAGGCAGAAGTATCAGAAATAGAGTTACAATCACTACGAAAACAGATAGAAAAAGAAAGCAGCAGGGGACAGAATTTGTCAAGACAAATAATCAGCCTCAGAGAGGAGAGAGATTTGCTTAAAACCAAATATGAGCAACTAAAGTCCCAGCAGAACTTCAATAGTGAGAGTAAAACCCCTAAAATCTTCAAGTCTGAGATTGAAGATACTAAGCTTCAGTTAGAGGCAATAAAGGAAGAGCTTGTTTATGAAAAAGAATTGAATGCCAATCTTCAATTGCAAATGCGGAAGACACAAGACTCAAATTCTGAATTACTTTTGGCTGTGACAGACCTTGAAGCAATGCTGGAACAAAAGAATAAGGAAATATTGGATCTATCTACCAATAAAAAATCCCAAAGGACTTCTAAACAGTACGATGATGCCACAGAATTAGATCTCTTGCGGCAAAAAATTGCAGACCAGAATGATGAAATAGACAATTGCTATAAGCAACGTGAGGAACTAAGTGAGCAAATAAAAGATCTCACTTCAGAGTATGATCTTCTTAAGAAGGAAAATGTAGAAATCTCTTTGAGGTTAAAGCAAGATGAAGCACAACACATCATGTTACAAAGTGAACATTCATCTTCTTTAGTTACAATACAACAACTTGAATCCCAAGTAGAGAGATTAGAAGAAAAGCTAAAGGCGCAGGAAGATGAATTTTCAGCATCCCTGGTCTGCATCAAAGAACTTGAAAATGAAGTCAAGTCTTTGGAGAAAGAACTGAAAATGCAGGCAGATAAGTTTGAAGAAGATCTCCATGCTATGCAATGTGCAAAAACTGAGCAGGAAGAACGGGCAATCCAAGCAGAAGAGGCCTTGAGAAAGACAAGACATAATAATGCTGTTGCATCTGAGCGTTTTGAGGAGGAATACAGATTGCTTTCTGTTGAAATGTCTCAAAAAGTTGAGGAGAATGAAAAGATGACTATGAAAGCAGTAGGAGAAGCTGATGAATTGCGGCACCAGAACAAGCTAATAGAAGAAATGCTTCATAAATGCAATCAAGAGCTCAGGCTTATCACAGAACAGAATGATTTGAAAATGCAAGAGCTTTTGGATCAAATAGATTCAAAATCAAAAACAATAAAACAGATGTCACAAGAACTAGAAGTTAAGTCTAAACAACTTGAGGATGCAGAAAGGCACAGGGAAGAAAAGGATGCTTCATTTTCAAAGCAAATACAAATGCTCAGATCTCAAATTAAAATGTTGATGGAAGAGGATGCATTTGAAACCAAGCTAACAAAGAACTTGGCTGACATGGCAAGGGAAGATGCAAAAATAGCCCATAAAGGAAGACCACTTATGATGCCAAATGATGAGATGATACTGGGCACCCTACTGTCTGAGGTAGAAACATTTAAGAACCAGCATAATGAAATAAAACACAGTTTGCATAAAGAAAAAGTGGAGAAAGAAAATATGAAGAAACATATATCTCAATTAGAAGGAGAGCTGAAGAAGAAGGAAACAGAGTTAAATGCTATGGAAAAGAAGCTCAAGAATAACAAAGGACGAGCTGCAGTTACAAATATGAATTTGGCATCAAAAGACAATGAGTGTGCTGAGCCTCCTACCGCTAAGGCACATGTCCAGAAGGCAAAATCCGTAAGGCATAAGGTAATTGTTCAGATGCCATATTTAAAATCCAATGTGAATAACATGAATATTGCTGTTGCATATTAGGACAGGTTACATAGTAACACTACTCCCTTATAGCTTATGCGCCGCTACATAATATTAAAGAGAAATAAGTAATAACATTAAAATCCGCAGAGATCAGTACAAAGTTTGGAAAATGATATAATATGTAGATTTTTCTCCAGTATATAATAACTTTTTCTCGGGGTGGTGGACTAGTGGTGGTTTTATAGAGTATAACAAACATTTAAACTAATCGGATTTGTAGTACTTCTCTTGGAATGATTATATTCTTTGCTTTTAATCCAGCTATTTTAGGTGTTAGGAATATCTCATTACCTGCTGACAACAGGTTATTTGAAAAGTACATTTGCTTTTCATTTCTCAAGATTAAATATGTGTCACATTTTACAGTACTATGAAAAATAACAAACAATGAAAAACACCTTTTTATATAAACAAATAAACGTACATTTTAGTCTTCGTATCAACAAATAAAATTCAAAAGCCATGTGAAAAATTATTGCAAAATGGAACCCACCTTTTTATATAAAAAGAAATAATAGAATCCCCTCATTAAATCATCCTAACCGAGTGAGGATGGTGATGCAGAGTTAAATATTCTGTGTATTTCAGAAAATCAATAATTTCTTTGTCACTTGTGCAACTATTAAACAGTTAAGTCAATTCTTAAGGAACTGGATACACAATGACTGATGTATGTACAGAAGCAAGCACAATTTAAAACCAGTTATGGAGCTTTAGTAATGAAAAAGTGATTTTTTTTCTTCCTGGTCCATGAATCATGATACAACTATACATAACAAGGTCAATAAGCAGAAAATCTCTAACTTAAAATGGTTCTAAAAGAAAATGTCTGATCAAGGTTTAAATTTAGCATTGCATTACATGCAGTAGTTAATCTTGGTTCTCTAGAATAATAACTCAGACTGTTGTTATATATGTCACATGAAAAGGGAACGGATGCTGCAAGTGCTGCTGTTAGTAAGTCTGAAGCAGGAAAAATAGGCAAGTCAACTGAGAACAAAGTTTGTCTGGCTCCTGGAAGGTAAAATCAAATTCATTTCTTTCCTTCGGAATCCTAGTTCCCTTGAACATAATGAAGTGAAGAACCTTTTATCATTCTTTATCTTTGTAATAGAAAGTTGGTGCAACAGATGTCAAATTTGTCATAAATCATAATGTTGCTCATGTCATCCAAGAAGTAAGTACTAACTTCTATTATTTTGTCTCCTTACTCTGACAGTGAGGATACAAATGAATTGTTGAATGAAGTTGCACTGCTAAAGGAAAGGAACAAGACTATGGAAAGTGAGCTGAAAGACATGGAAGAAAGATATTCAGAGATTAGTTTGAAATTTGCAGAGGTAGAGGGAGAAAGACAACAGCTTGTTATGGCTCTACGCAATCTCAAGAATGGTAAGAAGAATTAGAATTCTTTGCCGGAGCTGTGGCTTATAGAAAACATACATGAGTGGTGAAGCAGGCAGGCTATCATCATAACCCGAATGGAGGAACCAAATTTAGATAGTACATTGCAGTTTGCACTTATGTTTTGACCTATATCCTGTACATCAGTACATGTACTAACAGTTTTACCTCATCCAATTTTTTTTCTGGGCCACTTGGTCCATCCAATATTCTTGTCGTATGATACGTTGGCAAGTGAGCCAGGGGTACAATGCTGTAGCTTCATATAGGTCATGTAGCCAATGATTATCATCAGTTTGACATTTTTGGCATGTGTAACATATACAGTTAAGATCTATGATGCTCAGAAGAATGTTTTTGATTGAGAGTGCGATTAGAATAAAGAAAAACAGGCTTATGAGTACAAGTAACTGTCAGGTTACCTTGATTAGTGGTTTTCATAAGCAGTAGTTAGAAGCTTATTTTAGGAGTTCCTATTATGTTTAGTCATCGAAAAATTAGTAATTGATTTTTGGTACTTGAGTACTTTGCTGCGTTGAAAAAATCAAGTTTTTCAGTATCATTTTTGACAATACAAACATCAATAATAAATAATTTTGACGAAAAATAAAAAGTAGAGAAACTGTTTAGAGTATGTTGGAGAAAGCCAACGGGTGGGGACAAGGAATTTGTCCAACTTTGTTGCCATCTCTATATTCCTTTCTCCACCTTGCTTATTATCGCTCTCTAAGTTCCAACTAGCCATTACCATAAAAGAAATTTGACAGACTAGTCTTGAAGATTCACGCCATGGCTTGTGGCCTGATTTGTCACAAAGCCTCAAAGTTTCATACCACCCAATAATCGTGAAAAGAGACCCACATTAAGACAAGTTTCTAATTGCTGTATATTGCTACTAGTAAGAAATATGTTTGGAGAATGAGGGTAGTTTGTAGAGAAAGTTAAAAAGTGGTCAGAGAAAGATAAAATTAATTAAAAAAAGACTATTATTTTTATTATAGTTATAGATAGAGTAGATAGATATAGATAAATTGATAGATCATAATAAATAGTTATATAATAATAATAATAATTATTTATATATATAATGTAAAAGAATATTTTTTTAATAATTATTTTGATATTTGATAGATTATTATATTTTTTATAATTAAAAAATAAAAATAAAAATATTTTATGAAATTTAAAACTTTAAAACTTAAACATAAATTATCGTATTAATTGAATTAACATATTTTACTATTTAATCTTATTTTTTAAATTATAATTTTAATACAGATACGAAATATCTTGATATTACTAGTTACTAGATCATAAAAAATATATAAATAGTTATATAGTTATAGATTATATTATAGAAGATATATGATGGGATATATATCTAGTTGTGGAGTATGAACATAGAAGTCTCTTAATAGACTTGTGCCGTTGCCGACAGTTGTTATGATCATTTTTTTAAAACAAAAAAAAAAAGAGTGAAAACTGTAGTACCCAAATTTTCTACCTGCACAATTATTAGGAAAATGACACAAAATAACTGCCATGTACTCCTAATTAGTTCTTGAACACAACTTTGTACCCCCAGCCTCCCATTTGGCATAAACAACAACCAGTTCTGTCGTTGACATTTATGCCCATCTAAATTCGGGAGCTTAAAGAAGTTGAAGTGTCCACAATTTATCCGATCAATAATAGAAAAAGAATCAACTAGACACTGTGTTTACCGTACCATATCCAAAGTTGTCGAATATTGCAATTATTTGTGTACATCAGTTGTCAAGAAATAATAAAGAAAACTACTTCGTATGTTAAGCTTTCCTCTGCTTCCAAAGAGGCAGGGACACTTGTAGTGTGTCATCTGAGAAAATGACAGTTTACTTTTGTAGATACTCACATTTGGACGAACCATCTAGGAGGGGGCCAATTTCCATATCAAGACGACAAGAATAGTTTTGTTAACGAGACCACGTAAGCACAACTACTCAACACGTGTCAAATGATAGAGACATGTCGGTTATGTCACACGTGTCTCCACTTATGAGATGCCACATGTGGCATAGAATGTAACGGCCTTCTCTATATAACGTTTAAGCCTTTGATTTCTTTGGTAATTATCATTAGCAGTTACTTTTCTTTTGTTTACAATAATGGATTCAAGAGTAGTTCAAAATCAAGAGCATGAGAACGATGAACAAAGCCCCCACATTGTTGCCTCGGAGCATGGTATGAATCACATTTAGAAACAAGTTGTATTATATTTTAAGACATCTTCTTTAATGTTACAATATTTTTTTCTAATGATTTTTTTTTCTTCTTCTATTCAACTTTTTGGATATAATGACACATGGTACTGAAGAACAATATTCTGACCATGATAAGAAGTCTGTTCTGAACAAGGTCAAAGCAAAGGCTAAGAAAATTAAGGACACAATTAAAAAGCATGGCCATCAAGTTCTTGATCGTGGTCATGACGATCAACACACCATTAATGATCATGAGGATGAAGAAATGACTGAAGATCCAGAGGTTCATGAAACATTAAGTATGTTCATTTTCTAAATCATCTCCAATTAGATATGTTAAAAATTAGAATACAAGGATTGTAGTTTTTGTTTTGTTCTTCAATGATGGCGTGAATCAATGCTATTATTTTGAAATGGCATGTAACATGTATGTAGATTCGAAAGTAATAGTAGAAGTTACTTTTAAGATTTTAAAATTTACGAAGAGAAAAATAAATTTAACTATGTTTGGAGTACTTAAAAACATAATTTACCCTATAATTTGGCATTTAGTTGTAGATACTTCTCTAGTTTCTCTTCAAAATAGAAGGAACTCAGAAACTTTTTTTTGGTAAGAAATTGAAACCTTTTAACAAGGAAACTGATTTAAGTTGGACAATTTGCTCAAACTTTCTGCAGTTCATGAAAGTGAAGATGTTAAAACTATTACACCTACATCTGGGAAAGTCGAAAATTTAGGAAAGTCAGGAAATGATTTTGGAGGCACAACAGTTAAGGGAGAAGAACCTGGTCACGATGCACTGCTTGGAGGCGTTTCTTCAACTACTGAAATTGATCAAAACACAGACAGTGAGTCAGCCGAAATATTTTCTGTGGAAGAGAAAGCAGTACCAAATGACAATTTGGAGAGATCAATAGGCTTGGAGGAAGAGCATCGTGCTCCAGAAAGTACACCTGAGACGTATAAGCCTCCCAGTTATCACACCAAAGTCCCTGATCCAAGTGGTGTAGGTAAGTAGGACGATTGAAAATAGTTGATGACTCAATTTTTGTAGAGACTTAGCATTATGCATTAATATCTTATATTAGTGTACTATTTAAAAGATTTGATGGTTAAATTGAAAAAATTGGATTTAACTCCTCACAAATGTTGACTGGAAAATTATTGGAGCAAATATTTCCAACTTCATATTTTTATTTTATTATATAAATCATGCATGCATTTTATCACTGTTGTAATTCCGTGATTAATATTTTAGAGTTGAAAGGGGGAACTTATTAATTAGAGTAGAGTTCTTTTACTGACTTTCTATTCAACAAGGTTACCAATTTTCTTTTCCAACTGCACCTTCAATTTTTTTTTTTTCATGCTTAATGATATGGCTTACAGAAAAGGATGAAATAGAAATCACACCAGTTGAGGAATCTTTTGGGAGAATGAATGTGAAGGATGAGCCAGAGCCTACTCCAGAACCAAATGTCCAGCCATCTGTAGTTGTTGATCCTGAATTCCCTCCTGCTGGAAGCCATGATCAGTTTGTGCCACACCTCTCTGCTGCAACACAAACTCATGATCACTTCACTAAGGATAACATATCATCCACAAACATCAATACAAACCCTGCAGAAACTGGACAAACTTTTAACACCATCACGACCCCGGTTGAAGAACAACCACTGAATGAAGCAAGCACCGATGAAGTTGTCTTTCCTAAAGAAGTCATAGCTTCTGAGGTGGGGTCAGGAGAGAATGACAACATAAAGGAGAAGGTGATAACAAATGAAGAGCACCAAAAAAGTGGGGATGCTTCTCCTAACATGTCTGACTCAACTGCACAAAATGGAAAGAACATTGCTCACTCTCTGACAGAGAAATTAGCTCCAGTTTATGAGAAGGTTGCAGGGGTAGGAAGTGCAGTGAAGTCCAAGGTGACTGGTGGTGTTGGAAGTGAAACAAAAGATGGGGTTTCTGTGAAGGACTATTTGGCTGAGAAGCTAAGGCCTGGTGAAGAAGACAAGGCACTTTCTGAGGTAATCTCAGAAGCTTTGCATAAGCGGAAGGAAGAGGCAGTGGCAAATGAGGATGAGAAAATGTGTGAAGAGAAAGATTGCTGTGTGAACACAAACAGTCAAGGAAAAGGTGTGGTTGACAAGCTTAAGGGTGTTGTTGGCTCTTGGTTTGGCAAATCTGAGGAAAAAGGTGATGAATTAATTTTGCAAAATATTTTGTGTATAATTCTGATTTTGATTTTTATGTTGTTGTGGTTGCTTGCAGGAGGTGGAGATTTATCCAAGAATACAAATTCTGGTGCAGAAGTGGAACAGGTTAACCAAGTTGTGGGTGAAATCAAGAGTAGTCAAATTGAAGATCGCTGAATTTCTTCCTGGATATTGGATACTACACTTGTGCAGTGCTCGTAATTAGATATATTTGTATATGGTGGATTCATGTGAAAGTTATTATATGTTTGTGTAGATGTGGAATTTAGATTATAATATTAATTAATAATTAATAATTAATAATGTTTATGTAGGAGTTATTTTAAGGTTAAGAGAAAAAACTGGCTATATATAATTTTGTATTCTGTCATGTTTATTTTACTTAGTAGCTGAACTCTGTTCCATATGATAATATGCATATTTTCTATTTCCATTTCCATTTGTTGGTGTCTTCATTGCTTTTTTCCTGTAATTTTTTTCTTCCTCCTAAGTAATGCTTTATATTATTTTTCCCCTAGCATTCGTTAATTCTTCTTCTAATTTGTTTCATGTCAAACCTATTAACAAGAAACATAATCCATTGTATTTATTTTCGAAATAACGATTCTCCACCGTTGATTAGAAGATCTCTATTACAAAATTTCAATTAGTACAAAAGTTAATTGAAACAAATTTATGACATAAAAACTGTTGGATTTAACTGTACCAACATACTATCTGATTCTGGAAGGCAAATGATCTTAAATTATTACTTTTGAGATGAAGTGCATGTTTAGTATTACTAGCCGATTTTATATTTTGGAAGATGATTTTATCAAATATAAAAGTAAAAAATTAATCGGTGTTTTCTTGAGAAAAAAATTACAGCTTTATTTATTTAGAAACGACTGTTGACATCTTTGCTATTTTGTATCTTTCATGTTATGTTGACTTATTTTGTATAAGTATGTTGAATTATTTTGATTTATGCATATTTTCGTTTCTTTTGTTATTTATATATTATTCAACTATTAAAGCTATTTAAAACAAATAAGAATTAAGTGTTAAAATTGACTAAGTTAATTAGTATTTTATATAAGAGTTATTTAAATGATTAAATTAAATATTTAATAAAAATAAATATGCAAATAAAATTTTAATTACACAACACAAATTAATTTCCTTTAAAATATTTTTGTTTAAAAAATGTGGAAAGAAGGGCAGTGCAAACATCAAAGGCTGGTGATAAACACACCTCCATTGTTATATAAATACACCCTTTTTTTTTTTATAAAATATATGAAATCCTTAAATTATCCTTATTTACACCTCTCTTTTTCTTTTTTCCTCTGTGCACCTCTCTTCTTCTTCCTCCTCTGCACGCACACCTCTCTTCTTCTTTCTCCTCTGCACACCTCTCTTCTTTTTCCTCCCTGCACCTCTCTTCTTTTTTTACACCTCTCTTCTAAAAAATTTTATTATTCCAGAAAATTCTTTTCATAATAAAAACTTGATTATTCCAGAAAGTACTTTCTGCAACAAATTTTTCCTATTATTCCCCTTTTCTGCAACAAGAATATAAGCAAGTTAGACACATTGCTTTCAACCCAGTGTTGAGATCACAACTTCATTATCTTTCCTTATTGTTCAAATGACTATGTGGGTCTGCTTTTTCTCATTACCCTCGGCTGTAACATTTGACTTTTTGGGCGCAATGTGGGCCGTTTGTGAGATTTCCCCTCCAAATCATAAGGTTCTCTGCAAGTTTTTTTTTCTTCTGTATTTTTAATTTATTTTATTGGATGTTGGTTTTCTGCTTGATTGGTGGTGGTCGAAGTAGTGTTGGAAGCTTCGTTTATTCAATAATGTAATTGTTTTTCATTCATGGGGTATTCTTGAAATATACCAAAAAATTAAATGCCAACTTGTTGTTATGTATGACCTCAAGCAATTTCCGTCTACTTATGTTTTTAATTCGGAATAATGGATCCTGGGTCTACTGCTCCAGGTTTACAGATTGGCACAAGTTTGAAAAAAAGAAGGAGAGGTTGCGGAGGAGAAAGAAGAAGAGAGGTGTGCGTGCGGAGGAGGAATAAGAAAAGAGGTGCAAATAAGGGTAATTTAAGAATTTCATATATTTAAAAAAAAAAAAAGGGTGTATTTACATAAAAATGGAGGTGTGTTTATCACCAGCCAACATCAAACTGGACTTGAGCCCAAAAGGCAATTAACACTACTTTAAGCCCAAACTCATTTAACCAGAAAAGGCCCAAACCCATTAGTTTTAAAAAATACACGTTAATGAAACGATGCGTCAAGAGTTATGCACCTTCTTTTTCCTTGCTCCACCGTGTTAGGGTTTTGCAGAGTCGCCATTTTTGTTTTCTTCACACTTCACTCGCACCACAGACAATGAATTCCGGCTCCATATAATGCCACTACCCGACACCGCAACGTTGTTTGGACCAATACTTCAAAATATCGTTCGACACGGTACGCTATTTTGCCCCTTCGCGTTTTTCTCGTCGATCTTCTAGAATCTATCCGTTTCGCGAAACTTGGTTTTCGATTTGATGAATATCCATCGACTCGCTAGCACAGTGGGCTTCTGGAAGCTTTCACCGCAAGGAAACTCCATTCCACCATTGCCCAAATCGCGTTCGTTGCGCAATTTTCGGAGATGATGGGTTCGAATTCGAACCATGAATTCAATAATCCTTTTAGGTCCAAAAATGGTCCACAAATTTTCCCATTCGTTGATTATTTTGCGTAGATTATGCAGCCATCCGTTTGATGGGGATGATGGATTTGAATTTATTGAGGAGCCTTTGAAAAAACTGGGTTCAGATTATGATGAAAGGCTCCATTTGAAGGATGATTTTGGTGGTAACCAAAAGCAGTTTTCACTTAGGAAAGGGTTCATAGAAACTGTTAAGTTAGATGCTAAGAGGGTTCTTGAGGTACTCCGGCAAGATGGTCCTGGTCTTGATGCCAGGTTGGTTTTAGGTGAGTTGCATGTAAGGCCATCGGGGCTTCTTGTGAGGGAGGTTCTCTTTGGAATTTTGAAGAACATAAATTGTGAGAATAAGACCAGGTGTGCGAAGCTGGCATATAAGTTTTTTGTGTGGTGTAGTCAGCAAGAGGGTTACCGGCACACTGCGAATGCGTATCACTTAGTTATGAACATATATGCTGAGTGCGATGAGTTTAAGGCGTTGTGGAGGTTGGTTGATGAGATGATTGAAAAAGGGCTTCCTGCTACTGCTCGAACTTTCAACATCTTGATCCGGACTTGTGGTGAGGCGGGGTTGGCTAAGAAATTGGTGGAGAGGGTCATAAAATCAAAGACGTTTAACTTTAGGCCTTTTAAGCACTCATACAATGCAATCCTGCATGGTCTTCTTGTTTTAAACCAGTACAAGTTGATTGAGTGGGTTTATCAGCAGATGATGCTTGATGGATTTTCTTCGGATATTTTAACTTACAATATTGTCATGTATGCCAAGTATAGACTTGGAAAGTTGGATCAGTTCCACAGACTGCTTGATGAGATGGGTAGAAATGGATTTTCTCCAGATTTTCATACCTTCAATATTCTTCTTCATGTTCTTGGCAAAGGGGACAAACCACTTGCAGCTCTCAATCTTTTAAATCACATGAGAGAAATTGGTATAGACCCAACTGTGCTTCATTTCACTACATTGATAGATGGACTCAGCAGAGCTGGGAATCTGGATGCTTGCAAATATTTTTTTGATGAAATGATAAAGAATGGGTGCATGCCAGATGTTGTGGCTTACACTGTAATGATAACAGGATATGTAGTGGCTGGTGAGCTTGAGAAAGCGCTGGAAATGTATCAAGATATGGTTTCTAGAGAACAAATTCCAAATGTTTATACATACAATTCCATAATTCGGGGATTATGTAAGGTGGGAAAATTTGACGAGGCATGCTCAATGCTCAAGGAAATGGAGACCAAAGGTTGTAGTCCAAACTCTGTTGTCTATGATTCATTAGCGAGTTGTTTGCGAAATGCTGGAAAGACTGCTGATGCTCATGAAGTGATACGACAGATGACGGAGAGGGGGAAGTATGCCCACATGCATTCAAGATTCAAAGGGCATAAGGCATAAGCTAGATTTTCATGTTGTATTAGTCAACTCATGAGACATCGACATTTTATCTGGTTAATTGAGACCAATGACCTGCTGCTTGTTCAGCTGATTAGAAGCTGGAGAGATAAAGTATGTAGTACCCCCTTCCCTAATATATATATTTCTTACTTATTTCTACACTCAGTAACTGACCTGTATGCCCATTTTTTCATAATATGATTAATATTTCTTGTTCTTTATTTTAGGCTTTGCTTCTTTTCCTTCATATCTGCGTGAATTTGTCAGAGCTTATTTATCAAGAACAGGGTGCTTAAATCGTCTTTGTTTCTTTATAGTGTAAACATTATGTACATTTGGTAGTAACTAGTTTTATTTGAGCTTAAGTTATCTAAATTATAACTGGTGTATGTAAACTTATTCATTGGCTTTTGCTGTATCTATTTATAACTTATAAAGTGCATAAAGGATTTATAATCTGGATGCTTGACAGCCGATTGATTAATTTGGTACAATATCTATAGATGTACCCGTATTTCCCTGGGAAAAAAAAAAAGAGAATAAATAGTGTATTAGATTTTAAAGTCATCTTCTTGCTTTGGATTTATCACTTGTATAGTCAACAGTGATATGTTGAGGTGAAATGTCTTTTGTATAGTTTATAATATGACTGTTTTCTATAATCCTTTTCAAGTATGGCCTTTGTTACAGGATGGACTTTTTATTTATTTAATAAATGATCCATTACATATTTAATTATCGTGCACATCCCCTTCTTTTGATATTTAAAATGACATCATTTTCATTGTATGTTATTGATTATTGTTTTATATCAGCTGAAACTTATGTCTTTTATTCATGATTTTAAGATTAAATTTATAATTAAGTCCTTTTAATTTTTGAGTTCCAAGACTAAGTCTCCTGGTTCATTGGTGCATTTCCCCAAATCCAGAGCAAGAACCAGCTGCATAAAGTGTTGCCAATTTTGTCTGCTGGCTTCTTTGTTGCTTTCCACCAACATTCTTTAGCTGGTTGCTTTTCTGTGGATTCAAAGACAGATATTTACTCTGCGGCCACATTCAAGATGAAGATTGGAAAGCTTATCCCCTCTTATTGTCAGGTTATTGTTATGATTCATTTGTTCGCTTGATATTTTGCACTGAGTTCATACATGATACTTGATAGGCATGCAGAATGGGAGCACCAAGTCCAAAAAATTAGGATGCTATGCAATAATGCAATCTTCACCTTGCATGAGATCTTTTTATTGCAGATGCCTATGCTGTTAGGCATATTGAAGTTTATAACTATTTACTTATAGTAGATAACAACTCTTTTTGGCCTTAAAAACACTATCATCTGCATAATCAATAGCATTGAAGATAAAGTACATGACTACATGTTTTATCTTCTCTTGTGGAATTGCCACTTTCCAAATTGATACTTAGAGCTGCTTTTATTTTTCATAACTAATTGCACTTGCTTTTGTTTTGTTCCAATTTCCATCTTTGTTCTCTGGAAAATTTTCATAGGTAGGAACCACAAATGCCAGTTTCAATTATTTTTTCCAAGGGTTCCTCAATTTCCTACATACAGATTTTGGCTTAATTTTCCGTGATTTATCATACTAAGTGATTCTTAGGTAGGCGGCTTTGGTGCGGTTTTTCATGTATCGTGTCAAGGCTTCCCCAAAGGCTCTTTTTTAACATGATTAGATTTACTTTTGAAACTACATTTACAAAAATTATAACTTACTGCAATTAAAATTATACAGGGTGGTACAACCTCATACGGGGTGAAGTTCTTCAATTTTCTACCGATGGAATTGGCAACTCAGAAATTCGAACCCAAGTGTGTACATTCATCATCCAAGTCCAGGGGCTCGTGTATCTGGCTGCTGTCTGTAATGATGAACGCGGACATTGCTTCTTTGGTCTCAGTGGCTCTTGGTCGTTTCTACCATGGTTTTATACGTATATTTATTTATTCTTGATTGAGTTGTTCAGTTGAGAATGATTAAAATATTACATAGTTGCCGTATGGCATTCCTATACATACAATCAAGGTATAATAGCCTAACAGGACAATTGATCAGTACAATTTTTTTGGGTACTAGAGTCCCTAGAATGTAGGGGCTAGGACCCAGAGGGGAAGAGGAGAGACTAGGAGAATAGAAAACGAATGTTTCATTTTAGGGTGTTGACCCCTACTGCAAAGCAAGAACACTGAAATTTTGATCTTATTTTTCTCATCCAAGAAAGGACTTAAAATTGCTGAAATAGAATGGCAGATGAGTAGTTAGTTGTCTCAAATTCATATTCTATGTAATTTGAATTAATAAGACAAATATCAGATATGAGTGCGTATGGAAAGAAGAATGTAGAAAAACTCAACTATTGAATTTCCAATATAAATAATCACGTTAACTATAATTTCTGTAATTTTTTTTTTAAAACTTTGAAATCAATGGGCCACAACAACCTGCTCATGTCGCAACGGATGCTGCAACAGTAAAGGTATTCAGAGTCACCATTATTATTCAAATCCACTTTCGTCAAAGTAGTCAAAATGTCTCTTTCAGAGATTTGAAGGATCTGATGCTGTTCCTAGTCATGTAAAGAGAATTCTGTTCACAGGCTGAAGTAGTGAAGGCCCTGCCTTCTCATAAAAGTCATGCATACGTTTGTTGTTGACATATTCTAAGCATAGAAAGACATGAGTGATTTATGGTGGAAATTACGATTCACGATTATACATAGAACGTGTCTGTTGTTTAACATAGACCTCCTGCTCCTGCCTCGCCCACCCCGTATTTTCCTTTTCAGTCTTGTACTTCTCAATTCTCATGATATTTTTGCTCACCACACAGAATTTATCAATCTTAGCCTGTAGTTTGTATTAGTAGTTCCACCTATTTTAAAACATTTAATGTCAGCAAGTACAATTTATTGAAGTGGAACTTGTTAAACAGTGGCGTGCCTAACATTTGAAATTAATAACTAACTAAAATTGGCTTGACTTTCGGGTTAGAACTTAGAACAGCCATAAATTTAATAGACGTTCGTGTCATTGTTGACCATATATATTTAGTAGCCATAAGATTTAGAGTTATTACACTGGCACTTTATTTAGATTTTATAAAATTGTACACACTATTTTTAACGTTTAAATACAGGGTTTTTTTCCCCCAAACATTTAAGGGCGTCAGTATAATAGCTTTTCAATAATTAAGGCAATTAAGGAGTTAGTTTAGGGGTTGAAAAAGTATGAGTGTGTAATCTGATAATCTCATAAAACTTGATGTGTATATGCAATTTACTCTAAAATTTAATAGTCAAACCTAACCAAACTATTCAATAAATGATTCACAAAATTATTTTAGGACTTGTTTGAATAAGTTTCTCTATAAACACTTTAAAAATAATTAAAAAAAAGAAATTAGATTTTTCATAAGCTAAAATTAGTTCATGAGTTTATTTGAATAAACTTTTCTAGAAAATAAGAAAGAAATGGTAAATTTAATTTAATTTTTTTGCATAAATTAGTTTGTAGAAATTTTTTCATACCAGCTTATCCAAAATGTTTTTTAATTTATGTACAAGTTAATTTTAACCTGTGAAAAAAAATTTAGTGTTAAAAAAAACTAATGAAAAAAATTATTTTATTTTTCTTTTCTTAAAAGCGTTTGTTGAAAAGATATTTTAAAATACTCTATACAGAACTTGAAAACACATTTTGAAAAAATTAATGAGATAATTTCTAAAAAAATATTTTACATATAAGTTAATTTTAATTTTTTTAGAAACTTGTTTTGATTTTTTTTTCCTACGGGTGTTTATGAAAAAAAAAAATTATCTAAGCATAACCGAAGCATGGATGTGCACCCATAGCCCCCTTTTGGACCTTGCTTCCCTTCGCTCACAGAAAATGACCCACAATGGAAGAGGATTTTCACTATTCCATTAATTTTGTTTTGCCTTGTACACACTCTTGGTACAATTTAGAAGCAGGAGATTAATACCATCATACTCAAAAAAGTCATCTGAACCAATAAAACTTTTCATTATTCATAATTTATATGAATAATTTGCAGCTTAGTATCTATCTATATAGGAAAATATTAAAGAAGGGGGATGAATTTGTAAAGAAGAAAAAAAATTGTATTTTATTTTTTGTCTTCCTGTTTCTCTTCTGGCTTCTCTTCTGCTTTCTCTTCCTTCTTTTCCTCTTTCTTTTCTTCCTTCTTCTCTTCCTTGGCAGGTCCAACTGATACTATATCCACCTTCCCTACTTTCTTCAGCTTCTTCACCAATGCCACTGCATCCATTTCACCAATCACTGTTAACTTCTGTTCCTTCACATCTGCAGCAATTGAATCAACCCCTGTTGTTCAAAGTAACAACACTTAATTAACACAGATTAATATCTATCCAAGGCACAGATAGAAAAAACATGTTACAGTATCTATTACCAAGATAAACACAAATGAAATTACCATAGATATCTGCAGCTGCTTCTATTGCTTTCTTCTTTGTTTTCTCATCTATCATAGTGAGAACCTTTAACACCACCTTCTGCTTTGGATCCCGTGAGGGACACCAAATGCCAAGAGTAGACAAAAATAATTTTAAATTAAACCATACTTACAAATATAACCAAACAAGCATGAACATGTGCATGTGGAATGGAAACAAAGTAAGAAAAAAAGATCTGAAGAAAATTGAAGATGAAAATGAGTACCTGTGCCTCCATTGTGTGAAAACTAGGAATAAGGGTTGAGAACTTGTGGCCTTTGTTTTGTGATACAAGGTAATGCGTCTGCTTGTGGATATCTTCTTTTATTTGTGTGTGCTACATCCAAAAGCAACACAAACTTTTAAAACATTTTATTATCACTAAAATTTATTACATATTATAAAAAATATATAAGTCTCACTTCATATTTAATGAGATACATAAAATTTAAAGAACAGTAAAGACAATGTCGGAAAGAATGAATGATACCTACTTATACTTTAAATGCAAATTTCTGGCCAGCATAGCACAACTCAATAGCGCACACACGACAAATGTTGACATGTTCATTATGGTGTGTTACTTGCCATTTAATTTTTCTTTATTTTTTCCTCCTTATCACTTCCTTTTTATATCTTCCTACCAAAAGGAATAGAATTTGATCACGTCATGGAATAGATCAATAGGAATGTGTTTAAAAACCAAATATGATTGGAAAAAAGAAAAAAAAAATAATTGCTTTATAAGATACATATATTTTGATTAATTGGTTGTCATCCAAAACAAGCATATATAGATGTGATAAGATAAACGGCGATATTCAAATTTATACTAATCCATATCACTACAAATTAGGATTTCTTTATACCAATTTCAATAGCACGAACCCAACCGGACAATTTTGCTTTTGTTTTTATTTTTTAAAATCATATAATAAAAAGTTGTCTATGAAAATAAATTTGACTTTAGAAATTGATTATATGTAAGAAAAATATTAATACCTTACAATGTTTGTCATAAAAATAGTTACCTCTAATTAATTAAACAAACTATTTATAACTTTTAAAATATTTACTTTATCCAAATTAATTATGACACTCAAATATATTTATATAAAAATTTTGCTTATTTTATTTTTATAAAAACTAAAATTATTATTATTATTATTATTATGAAAAAAGTGTCAATATTGTTATTTTTTAATTTTTGGTTTGACAGGAATGATTTTCCTTCTCCTATGTATATGTGTAATGGAGAATTAGAATCACATAATTATTTTGTGTAGAAAATAGTCGTGTGTTCATTTTTTATTTAAATATTTGTTAAATCTTAGAATTTATGAATTGTCACATTTTATACGTTCTAAATTGTAAAATTAACAGAGGTGTACATCCAAACCAATTTATTTGAATATTTTAATTATTATATTTATTATATAAGGATTATAAAAATTAATCAAAGAAAAAATTTGAGTATACTAAACTGCCTCAGCTTGTATTTTCTAAATTTCAGGAAACTAAAAGATATCACATTTATTTAACTCTTTTTTTTTTTTTTTTTACTTTGATAAGTTCATTTATTTAATTATTATTATTATAAAATTTACAAGAAAATAAAATTTTAATATTAAATAAAACATTTCTAAAAAAATATATATATATACTTATATATAAAATAATAAAAAAAAGATAAAAGGCATTAACCTCAAGATGATAATTTGTTATGACATCTCACTTTTTTTTAAGAACATCTTCATTTACTGGACGATCCACATTTCTCCAATGGAAGTTAAAGAAGAAAAAAAAAATTATAGGCCTAATGTTTTTCATTAGGCCTCTAAAAAAATTACCATGGGTCCAATGTTCCCACAAGTTCTACTAGCCCTAAATGCTTCCTATGCCCATTCTTGCTTATAATTTGGGTCCTAGAACCTACTACTTTCAACATTTTGGATCTTCGCACTAATATTTTTTACATTTCGGGTTATTGTGCCCAATGCTTTCTATATCGGGTCCATGTGCCCATAACTTTTATCTTTGCTTCATGATATATACTCCTCCTTTTTTTCATAAGTATACCTCAATTTTTTTTTAAATAATTAATTTTTTTAAAATATTTTTAATATATTTTTTAATTTTTTAATTTTACATTAACAATATTTAATTTAGTACCTTTTTTTTATACATCTTTCCTCATTTTTTCAATTTTTAAATGTACTTCCTACCTTTCTTTCATCTCACCTATTTTGGTAAGTAATTTTAATTCTTTTCGTTTTATATTACTCTCTCCCCTTCTCTTTCAGTTTTCTTATTCTTATCTTCTCTCTTCCCGGTTTTAGTTTTCACACACATGTAAAACGTAAAACTAGTTTTCAATAATATTATAGGTGTGTATAGTTTTCTCGATAATAGATAAGAAATTAGAGGAAGACGAAATAGTGTATGTGAAAACTAAAAAAGAAAAAAAATTATGAAAAAAAAGTAGCAAATTAAAAATGAAAATAGAAAATTAGAAAAATAAAAAAATTACAAATATTTTATAATTTTTTTTAAAAAAAAATAAAGGAGGTATACTTATGAAAACTTTTGGGTTCCCATGTCCAATGTTTTTTATATTGGGTCCTTGGGCCCATTGGTTTTTATAATTCGGGTCCTTATGCCAAATACTTTCAACATTTCGGGTCTCTACACCCACAACTTTTATCTTTTGGATACCTGCGCCCAATTCTTTCTACATTTTGGGTCCTCACGCCCACTGTTTTTACATTTTGGGTTCATGCACCTACTGTTTTTTATAATTTGGGTCCTCACATCCAAGGCTTTCTACATCGAATCCCTGCACCCAATGCATTCTATATTCTGGGTCCCTGCACCCACTAATTTTACATTTTGGGTCCTTGTATCCATTGCTTTTTACATTTTGGATCCCTGCATACATTGCTTTTAAATTGAGTCGTAATGATTATTGTCCTTGTTTTTAAGCCTCACTATCAACTTTTTTATTGGTCTTGTGTCCAATTCTTTTTATTTTATTTTTTTATTTATGTTTCAAATGAAATTGAAGTTATCTTATGGATTAGTTTGATCTTTTTGCACACTCCTAATTTCAACCATAAAGAAATCTTATAATATTAATGATAACGATGAAAATATACACATTTTCATCACAATTTTTCATTTTCAATGAAAATGAAAACAAAAAACATGCATACTAAACAACTTCTAAACCTCATAATTTTTAGTTTCTCTTTATTATATTACACAATTTTTTTTATTTTTTTATCTAATTAATTTGTAAAAAATTATAAAAGAAAAACCACCTACATTAATACAGTTTCTCCTTTTTTTCTTATATAGAAGGAGATAAACAAGTAAATAAGGTAGCATAACATTAATTGCGACATACATAAACAATGGACTATAGAGTCCATCACCCTTATTTGGCTTGCGCAACTTACTTACACATGACATTCATGCATGCATGCATAAACAGTTGGCTTTATTGACACACCATAATCTACACATGGAAAGTGACTGATCAATCACACAACGCTTACAATATTGGTGTCTTCTTCTTCTTCAATTTTACTGTTCTTCAAGATTGTAGAGAAAGCCCAAGAGTGAATGGAATTTTTTTGTTTATGCTGTCCCGTTGAAGCAGAGAATCCAACCCTAACCCACTGAGGAAGGACAGTGCTAAGGTCAATGGCATGAGAGATTGAGACAACTTCAGTGCCTGTGCCAGGATAGAATGTAGCAGCAGTGAGTGTTTTAGTGAGAGAGTTATAGTTTATGCGTGCAGTGGCTGTTAACCCATTTCGCCACACCCACTGAGCTGTTCTTGCTGAAGTGATAGAGTTCACATTGATTCCAATGTGTACAAAGTTTGGATCCCTTATATCCAGATTAGGGTAAGTGTCAAATTCAACAGCAACAACTCTGTCGGATGCTTTGAGATTATCAACATGGATGTCGTGGTTATTGTTATCGTTGATATTAGAGGAGTTTGTGCGTGCAGTATTTGTGCCGGGAAAGAGTCCAAGGAACTTGCCATTGGAATTAGGAGGGATGACAGTGTCATGTGATGCAATGAAGAAGGTAAGACCATCGCATCTGAAAGAGTCCAAGGAACTTGCCATTGGAATTAGGAGGGATGACAGTGTCATGTGATGCAATGAAGAAGGTAAGACCATCGCCAGGAATAGTGTCAGGTGATGAGATGGAAAAGGTGAAACTAGTTTCAAAGGCTCCAACAAGTTGTATTGGGGCAGAGTATAAGACTCGCCCTACACTGGAAGGCAGTGGTTGCAATTGACTGTCTAACCTTGTGAGTTGTAAGGCATTGCGTAAAGCAGTGGCATCACCTTGAAATATCAGATCCTTTTGGTCTAGACCAAAGCTGTTGAAGCTGAAAGAGAGTGAATCTGCTGAGTTCACCCTATTCACTGCCATCAACAACATAGCCACCAACCCAATTACGGAAATTATGGACTTGTTAGAGATAGCCATGGTGTTCAAGTAGATGTGTGTTTGTGTTACTTCAAGGATGCAAACTCCTTCCAAACTTTCCAACTATTTATAGCAATTCTGAAGTGAATATCACCACAAAAATTCTATTCTACCCTTATTTATGGGTTATCGGTATAGTTAGAAGTTAGAATTACTAATTTCATCCATAATTTATTATTTTTAATAATTTATTTGTATAATATTTTTTTATTTTCTTTGGTAGATTATCCTTCCATTTCCTTTTTAAATCTATTTTAATTATACATGCTGTAATTTATTTGTAATAGTATCATTATATACTTAAATAATTTGGTTTTAGTAATTTTTTAGCATATTTTTATTTTTGTCTTAATTTTTTTTAAATTTTATTGTGTAAATTAATTTTTCACTTCTATTATTTATTAATTCTTTCAATATTTTTATAGCATTATTACAATCTTATAATTTTAATCTCTATAATTTTGTTCTACTTTTTATTGTATAATAATCTAGATTGTTTATTTTTGTAATTAAGTTTCTTAAAAAATATTTCTTGAAGAAAAAATAAGAAAAATAATTTAAAATAATTTTTTTATAAATTTATTTTTTAAAATATGTATATTTTTTATAAGTTCAAAATTAAATTTTTAAAGAAAAGAAAGAATTTTTTTACAAATTAATTTATACATAAATTAATTTTGAATTTATAAAAAATTTATTTTATTTTATTTTTTAAAGTATCTTTATGTAAGTTTATCCAAACAATATTACGAACTTTATATATAGGAATATATGTGGAACGCTGCTGGATTATATATGCACCGATGAGTTTCTAAGAAAACGAGAAAAATTAAAAGTGGATTCAGTTCCAATCTTTATAGAACTCACTTTTCATATTGGGTTTGAAATGAATGCACGTGGAATTCATTTGCACCTACTTTTTTTCATTTTCAAAATAATCCTTTATTTGAGTTTCATGAATACACGTAACACGTGGAATTCATTTGCTCCTACTTTTTTTCATTTCCAAAATAGTCCTTTATTTGAGTTTCATGAATGCACGTGGAATTCATTTGCTCCTACTTTTTTCTATTTCCAAAATAGTCCTAGTTTCATCATATTAATTTTATCTTAAATTTATTACTTTTAATAATTTATTTATATAATATTTTATATTTTTGAATTATATATATATATATATTTTTTATTATTTCTATATTTTTTTTGTTATGTTATTCTTTCATTTTCTTTTTTAAATTATTTAGCATTCTATTTTCTATATCTCTAATTAATTTTCTTTGTAATAGTATGCTTAAATAGTTTAGTTTTAATAATTTTGTAGTATATTTTTGTTTTTTTATCTTAAAATTTTGAATTTTTATAGTGTAAATTAGTTTTTTTACTTTAATTATGTGTTAGTTCTTTATTGAAGAATTTAGTTGATTATTTTTAGTGGAGTTTTTTCCCAATCTTAATCACACTTAAAGTTTCTCGAAAAACATTTATTGAAGAAAAAATAAGAAAAAAATTGAAATAAACTTTTTATAGGTTTATTTTTCAAAAGTAATTATTTTATAAGTTAAAAATTATATTTTTAAAGAAACTATTAAGAAAGAGTTTTTTTTACAAATTAACTTATACATAAATTAATTTTTAATTTATAAAAAAATATTTATTTATTTATTATTTAAAAAAAATGTAAGTTTATCCAAACAATATTACTAACTTTATAGGAATATATGTCGAACATGCTACTGGATTATAAATGCAGGTAATTATGCTCTGAGTTTCTAAGAAAAAGTTTCTAAGAAAACGAGAGAAAAACTCAAAATGGATTCATCTGTTTATTAGTTCCAATCTTTATAGCTTGCACGTGAAATTCATTTACTCAAAATGGACTCATCTGTTTATTAGTCCAATCTTTATAGATTGCACGTCAAATTCATTTACTCGTATGTTTTTCATATTGGATTTGAAAAGAATGTTCTTGAAATTCATTTACTCGTACTTTTTTGCATTTCTAAAATAGTCTTCTATTTGAGTTTGATTTTTTTTGGTATATCCTCTATTTGAGTTTGATTTAAAAACTATGAATAAACTCTTATATATTAAATATTAATATTTTTATTATATAAAAATATTTTTTAAAAAAATTTTATAAGGGAATTTCTAAGATTTTTTTAATTTATTTAATT